CCTTTGGGAAGAATAGGTGGAAAGATTTCTTTATGCTTTAGTTTCCACATCATATTTGCCTGCAGCATTTAATTCAGATGACAAGGCTGGTTCCTCCCAACCCCTGTGCTCCTCCTCCTCCTCCAAGTGTGTTGTTGTCCAAGTCAGAAATCTTATAGGAAGTACAGCAGTGTAAGTACTTCCTCATCCCCTGCAGGATGACGACTGCCTCAACTCCCTGACGCTGAGACCCTTGTTCTGAAATTGAATCTCAGATCCATGGGAATGAGTTATAGTCGTTAAAGGGACTGAGTGTGGAAATAAGTAACCAGAGAATTTAGAAAGACAACTTTTACATAATTTAGATGTTTCCCACATTGTATAGAAACCACCACTTCTTAAATGCGTTGATGAAGTTTTGATTGTTGTATCTCAAAGTGTGTTGAAGAAGCAACTAATGCAGTCAAGAGGTATAGGACTGGGCTGCATGGGGCAGCAAGCAAATGAATCATAATTTGGAGGAGAGGGGCTGCCTGACTGGGATGTGAGACAGTGGAGTGGCAGTGTGACTCCACAGCAGGCGAAGTGTTGGAGGAACTCATTACTTCAGGAGGTTGTACACACTGAAGAGCAAAGAGATGCATATATTTAGGGGAAAAGTAATAAATGAACATTCTTTCCACAAAACTTGTAATTGTGATCCCTGATGTAATCAGGTCAGTCCAGCACTTTAGAAGAATCAACCATACGAATGCTTTGTGAGGTTACCATTACCAAGAATGGCTTCTTTACTTTTTGTTATATGTGCTTTTTAATGCCGAACTGGACTAGTGTTTGTTGACTTGGGTTTGTTGCCATAGTGTCTGAGCAGCAGGAGAGAGCCTTCACACTGGGACTTGCAGGACTTCTTGGAGAGGGGGTTTTTAACTTTGGAGAGCTCGTAAGTTGATCCAGGCACTGATTTCTTGGCATGGGTTGGGAAGGGGCGCAGGGAGGAACTGGCCTTCTACCACCTGTACTGTCTGTCCCCACAGCTCATGCACCCTGTGCTGGAGTCCCTGAGGAGCACAGACCGGCAGTGGCTGATTGACACTCTCTATGCCTTTAACAGTGGTGATGTAGACAGGTTCCAGACTCTGAAGACTGCCTGGGGCCAGCAGGTGGGTCCATAGGCTTCTGGCCCTGCTTGTCCTCTCACATGCCCACTGTCCAAGAGTGTTGGGCTAGCATCTTCCCCACACACTGCAGGCACCCAGGCGACCCTGGGCATGGAGGAACCGTGGCAGGCCTGGCCTCACACAGAACAAGGCGTCTCATGGGCAGTGACTGCACTAAGGAAAGGTAGAGGGTGTGTGGGGGAACAGAACACAATGCACTTTTCATCTCTGCTGAGTGGAGTGGGTGTCAGAACCCTCCCAGCAGAAGTGCTGTGCTCTTTGTGACCTTGGGGTGGGTGGAAAGACATAGGAAGAACTGAGCACTTTGCTGACAGATTAAGTGTGAGCAGACAGGTGATGGAGTAGGAGGAGGTGTGGTGGTGGGGAGAAGAGCTCCAGGAGTGGGCATCTAGGTGGTAGGGACGGGCTCTGGGTGGTGGGGACTCTAATGTTAGACATAGATATTACTAAAATGTTAACTGTCATGGGAATCATAGTTGTCTTGTTTTTGTACTTTTCTGAAACTTTAAATTTTCGCAAAGTTTACAACAACTTACACCAGTTGTATGCAATGGGGTAGGGTTGTTAAGGTGCTATGAAGAGGCAGAAGCGTCAGGCCCGGCTGTTCCTGGTGACATCACTGTCTCAGCAAAAAATGTACCACTCAGAAAGGGAGCCATAGCCAGGCATGGTGGGCTGAGGCAGGGGGATCACTTGAGCCCAGGTCTTTGAGACCAGCCTGGGCAACATAACAAGAACTTCTCTTTAAAAAAGTGAGGAGGGAGGAAGCTGGCTAGCCATAGCAATTTAGAAGAAGAAAAGATACTCAGAGGTGCACGCTCCCTATGCCTGTCCAGTTCCTGTGCCAGGGTGTGAGCTGCCACTCATGTGGTTTAAGCCACCTGTCCACTCTCCCTGGCTGGCTTCACCTTCGCTTCACCTCTGTGGAGAGCCCACACACTGCATGGGTCTTGCAGAAAGTGTTCTCGGTTCCTTGCAAGCCAGTCTTTCATTATAAATTGATCACTTGCTCTTTGATCTGTGTGAACTCCAAGACTCAGGGTTCTCCTCAGACTGCACTTGCACTGTGCTCATAAGCAGGCAGTGCTACCAGGGCTGCCCAGGATAGGTCCTTTGTCCTCTACTAGCAGTGCCTTGTGCCATGAGTCTTGAAAGGCCTTCTAGTGTTGTAACATCAGTACATAACTCTTACAGATCACTTCTCTAGAGAAACAGCCTATCAGTCAGTCTTAGATTTCATAAGAAAGGGAGACTTCAGGTCACTTGACTGTTAATGAGCCTCAGCAGTCTGCAGTGTACATGTTTGGATCTTCCCCGCAGCTTTTTTCCATCCACCGTGTAGAAAGAAAAAAATTGAGAACCCAGGTAAGGTCACTTGGTGAGCACAGACATGAGAGTCAGCTCCTCTTTCTGTGCTTCACAGCCTGACTTAGCAGCCAATGAGGCACAGCTTCTGAGGAAGATCCAGCTCTTGTGCCTGATGGAGGTAAGTGGCACCAAAGCCACTGTTGTGCTTCAAGACCTCGGTCAGTGAGCAGTGAGTCTCCCATCTCCTGTGTGGTGTTTCTTCCTCATTGCCCCACTCCTCGTCTTCCCATAGCTGGGACAACCCCTCAGACAGGTCTCCCCTTCTGGGTAGTCTGAGCTGAAAGAGCTGCCCCTTCCTCCCGATGATATGGCACATCCTCTCGGGTCTAGTGCTTGTCTGTCCTTCCCCACCAGAACGTGAACTTCCTCAGGAGATGGAGGTTCTGTTTTTGGTGCCCCACAGTGTCCCCTGGTCTTGGGATACATGATGGCTTCAATTACCTGTTCAAGAAATAAGTAGTGGCTATTGTTGAAAATTCCTGCAAAGCTTATTTTCACCTTTAACCTTATTATTAAGCGCTGAAAGTTTGTTCCTAGTAGTAAGACATATGACACATTAAGAAAATTTTATTGTATGGGGTACTCAGAAGATGATCTGTGTTTTTAAAATATATGTACCTATCAGATCCTATCAGATCTCAGCCCATTTTTGTTTGGAAAAACAATTTTAAGTAGTTAATCAGCTTTTTTTTTTTTTTTTTCAGATGACTTTCACACGACCTGCCAACCACAGACAGCTCACTTTTGAAGAAATTGCCAAAAATGCTAAAATCACAGTGAACGAGGTACAGTTCTTAGGCTTGGGGTATCACAGCAGCAGAGCTGCTACCTGTCAGAGCAGGGCACTGGGTATCTGACAGGAGCCCTCCCACACAGGTGGAGCTGCTGGTGATGAAGGCACTCTCGGTGGGGCTGGTGAGGGGCAGCATAGACGAGGTGGACAAGCGAGTGCACATGACCTGGGTGCAACCCCGCGTGCTGGATTTGCAGCAGGTGAAGCCACTGAGCCCCTGGTTTGCCTTTGTTGGGTTGGGTTATGTCTGTGCTGTCTTGGTTTTATGGGGACGGAAGTCACTTAGGAAGAAGGCGTCACGGTACACATGGTTTGGGGAATGGATTATTGCTGTGGGGACTGAAGCCTTTTCTTAGAACCCAGTTGATGCAAGCCTAGGGTCTGACTCTACACTTAGAAGCTTATTGTGACAACGGTGTTGGTTGTACTGATAAAGCCTTTTAATCTTAAAAAAGTCTTTTAATCTTAAAATTGGTGCTCTGATCAAACATGTTCCTGGTTTCATGATCTGAGCACAAATCCATCTTATTCATATTTGCTGGAAGTTTAATCCTGTGGATTTCCTCTATTCTTGCCTGTTTTCTTTAATGCAAGTTTTTAAAATATTCTTGTGATAAGAATTGACCTGGGTGATCCCATTGCACACCCCCACCTCAGCTCTGATACCCTCAGTTCTGCCCCAAGAATGAGTTAGAGGTTAGACCTGCCCCATTTGGCCTGCGGGTCCTGCATATCTTAATGCTCATGTGGCCCTGATTTGCCCTCAGATCAAGGGAATGAAGGACCGCCTGGAATTCTGGTGCACAGATGTGAAGAGCATGGAGATGCTAGTGGAGCACCAGGCCCATGACATCCTCACCTAGCACCCTGGTGCCCTGTGGCCCCACCTCACCTGGGAGGCACTTCTGTGGCCCTGAAGCTGGCAACAAAGATCTGCATTGAATTGGGGTGTGGATTTGGATCCTGTTGGGAATAGGGACTACTCACTGTAAAAATGGTGGACTGTCATTTATGGGAGCCCAGCCACAGGGGAAGGCTCTTAGGTGGGGGTGTCTTAACCTGCAGTGGGGTAGGGGTCTCCAGGCCTCAGGAGGGAGGGCAAAAGTGAGTGGGAAAGCTCTCAAGTCTGCAAACACCCCAAGGTGGGTCTCTGTCCCATCCACCCATGTGTGCATTTTTTCCAGTGCGTTCAGGATGTTTCTGTAATAAACGCCTTCACTTTACCCTGCTTATGCTTCTGTTCTTGGTCTTACCTTCCAGGACAAGCCTGAGCAGAAACTAGGGAGGGCTTGGTGGGGGTGTGGTCTTGGCTCCCGTCCTGCCCCATACAGGGGACTGGGGCAGAGCCTTGCTCTTGGCTACCAAGCAAGTAAGTTCTCTTTATCATCGGGAGAGACACAAGGGTGTCCATTCCCTCCTCAAGCCCACTCAGGATTCCTCTCAGACATAGGTTTCCACACCAGTGCCACCTTTCCTCACTGGTAGCCGGCCACTTCTGTACCCCAGCATGCCCCATTGTTGACATTGAGCCAGCTCCCAGACAGTCCAGTGTTGGGTGTCTGCAGGAGTCTCCCTGCAGTGCCCGGGCTGGACATGGGTACATAGAAGAGTCAGTGTGAACAGAAGGTAGAAGAAGGAGTTTAATGTGCTTTTCTAGGACTGCCCAGGTGGCCACAGGGTCTTCATGCTACAGAGCTCTTCTTGTAACTCTCCAGATGGGACAAAACCCAGCCTGCTGGAGCCAGGAAGCTCACAAACATGGTCGAGATCCCCACAGCCTGCTCCTGGTGGAGGAAAGCACATGAGCCCATGAGGCCTGGTCACTGAAGGAGACTGTCTGCCTGCCAGTGCCCCGCCCCCTCCACTCCCTCTGACTTGGGCCAACTGGGTTTCTCCCACATGCCTTCAGGCTGTTCATGTGTACCCTGTACTGACCTCTGCTGTTGTCCCTGAGGGCAGCCTTGAAGACCAGGAGGAAAGCCCTGGGCTCTGGGCCCAAGACCCTGGCTGCTCTCCACAGAAGGACAGCAGTACACACTCCCCTCCAATACCTGTGGCCCCACATGCAGGGTGCCGTGCTGTATGGAATGGCAGAAACAACTGAGATTTAAACTGCTTGTAAATAAGTACAGGCCTTTCCATGAAGGATAATTCCGTTCAGAAGCCTGGTGGGGAGGTCAGCTTCCACCGGCTGCACCTGTGTGTCTGTGCATGCCTGTGCCCCATTTGTGCAGAGGGACCCCACCTGGAGCCACGCCTTCTCACTGGCTGAACTTAAGAGAGCCCCGACCAAATTTCACTTTCAGTTCCCCCCTGAAAAAGCCAGGGTCAGGCCTCCCACCCCTCTATCTTTCTAAAGCTAGATTGAGGGCGGGGTTAGAGTCCCTCCTGTCGACTCTCACCCCCAGAGGCTTAAAGGCATATGCAGCCTGGACTCAGGTCTTAGCTACATGACCTTGAGCAAGTGACCCTGTAAACCTTGATTTGTTTATTCTTAAAACACTGCTCTGGAGTCAAAAGTGTTAACGTACATTTTGGCTTTCACCTGTACTCTCCTTGAGCGTCAGCATCCCAGCTCTTCCCCTTTCACAGACAGCAAGGTCCGCACAGCATTGAGTGTCCTCTGACCACTGGCCTTTGCCAAAAAGTGAGAGGCCTGAGAAAGGGAGCCTGGCCCACCACTGAACTCGGCAGCCACTTTGGGAGGCTGTCCTGCAGGAAATGGCTTTAGGACCCCTTTCCTGGCATTCAAGACAATTGTCTTGACAGAAGCACTGACATCCAGCACCATGGTCGCCTCCCCATTAATAGCCTGGACTTGTGTTTTTGCCCCCAAACCTAGGAAATGGGCCAAGTCCTCAGAATGACCTACTGCTGTCTTAGAGGTCACTTACCATAGGAGAGGTAGGTGTTCTGGCCGGCTTGGCAGAGATGTGGGCCTTGGGAACTGCCCAGCATCTGAGGGGGGCTTGGAGCAGCTGTGTGATAGGGGGCAACCTCAGCATGGTTCTGGGGCCGAGTTCCTTCCCAAGTCAGCTAGGTGTCCCGAGGGCTGAACGTCCTCTGCTCACTTGGTGTCAGGTCTTTTTATAGCTGGAAGGAACTGCAGCTGTCCCCTCCTGTCACAGGACTTGGCAGAGAGTAGGACTGGGAGAGGCCGGGCCTGGTGTGCTGTCCCCGCATGACACCAAAAGGCTGTGAGCCCTTAACAGTGTGGATAGATGTAGACCTTTCTAGAGAGAACTGTCACTTATTTGAGGAAAAGGAGGACCTCAGTGATAGAGAAGGTCCAGAGGAGTCAGGCTTAAGAATGCAAGAAGGAGAAACTGATGGCTAAAGGTGAACCTTAGCTCTTAGGGTGCCAGCCCCTCAGTACCATGCAGAGTTTCTGTAAAATTCTCCAACCTGTGGATTCCTCATGCGGCCCAGCCTCCCCTTCTTATATTCCAGGAGAGCAGGCACTGACCGCACAGCAGAGGAACAGGGTGAGGAGTAGACACTTTCTGAGTGCCAGCTATGGGCCGGGACACTGTCTGACCCCAGACTGCTGTGCCCAGTTAAGGCACCCAGGGCTGAACATGCTGGGCTGTCCAGTCCCAGTGCACAGGCCACTGAGCAGGCTCCATAGCTTCCCAGGCTTGCTCCTTGCTTCTGCAGATAGTGGTTGTCCATTCCTTTGCACTGCAAACAGTATCGGTATACCACTGATACAGTCTCTGTCAGTGCTAACCCCACTGCTGCCCTGGGGGCCTGTCTACACTGCCTCCCCACAATTACCATGAAATGCAAGTTCAGTTCCCCAGCATAGTTCTTGGCTGCTGGTTTCCCTCCCTCCTCCAGCCCCTGCCCGACCTCCAGTGGCACCAGGCTTCTCCCAGTCTCTCTATCCACCTCTCCAACCTCACCTGGCCATAGTCCAGATAGCCTCAACACCCCCAGCTGCTCCTCATTAATCATGATGTCTGGAATCTGTTAGTACGTGCTCAAACCCCACTTTATGGTCCCATTTCTAAGGCCCTGCAGGGCACTCTCTCCTCCCTCACCCACTTCAACTGTGCAGACAAAATGTCTAAGCAGCAGCCTCAGTGCCCCCTGGAGCTTACACTCCAGGTCCTGCCTACCAGCAGCACCACAGCCCAGGGTACTGGTTCCTCACCCTCCCCAAGTCCCACTTCAAACATTTCTTCCACCCCAGCTCCTCCCCCAGCACCACGTCTTGTCACTGCCTCTGCTCCACATCCCCCAACGGGCTCCACTGCCATTTCCCACACAGCACACTTCCATCCCCATACTGGTGCGTCGTGTTCTCATGTGTCTCAACAGATCATGAGACTTGGTTCAGATGACATCTCCTCAGATAACATCTTGCTCACTGTCTGCTTCCTACCTAGAGCAGAAGCCCTGTGAGGCTGTGTGTCCACCACTGAATGTTTGGGGCCCAGAGCAGCAGAATATGGCTTAGCTGAGTTTTCAGTCAGTGTGGGACAGTTGGGGCATCGGGATAGATGGATAAGGGGATAGATGGAGTGGGTTGGTGGGTAAGTGGATAGACGGGTGGGTGGGCAGATAGATGGATGGATGAGTGAAATGTGTGAATTGTGGATGGATGAGTGAATGTAGATGGATGAGTGGATGGATGAGTGAATGTGTGGATGGATGAATGAATGTGTGGATGGATAGAAGGATTAGTGGATGGGTGGACAATTGGAAAAGTTGATATAAGGATGTATGATGTTTCCATCATGAGCCAGGCACTGTGCTAGATTCAGGAGATGCGAAGCTGAGTCAGGCATGAGAGAACGTGAAGGGAAGATGCTCCACCATCAATGGTGCAGGATATTGTCATGATGGTAATAAAGGCCACATCCCAGAGGGTGTGGGAGACCAACCTTACACGTGACTGGGTCACACTCCCCGGCTGGGTGCTGAGGCACTCAGTCACAGAAATGTGGTCGGTGTCTCGTGCATGGGTGTATCTTGCTACAGCCCATGGGTGAAGCTACACTCACCTGTTCCTTTGTAATATAACCCCTTGCCCTGGTTAGGATAGAATCTTCCATGGAAGTGCCTTGTGTGTGTCCCCTTCTCTTACTGTGCCCTTGGGTGTGGCCTACACAGGTGTCAATCAACCTGCTGACAGTGGACATCATGAAGATACTCAGCCCCCTGAAACCTGACCCCTGGCCTCATTTGAATAGCTTCTCCTCAATAAAAGGGGTCAGCGCATGCTCTTGCTCTCTCTCTGTGGACCCTTAGGTCAGAGGAGCCGTCACAGTGACCCCAAAGAAAAAGGTATTGTGTCTCTTGTGTGGTTATTTCATGCAGCCCAGTGAGCCCAGTTTAACTGGGGTGACCTCTGAGCCCTTTAGTCGCGAGAACAGAAACCCGGCAAGAGGGTACTCTGGTTGTTTCCAGACCAGATTAGGGGACATCAGCCTCATCCATGGCCATCACCAGCTCCCCCAGACTTGGGCATGGTAACTACCCTTCCTGAAGACAGTCATGCCCTTGTCAGTTTATTTAGAATGATGGTGACAGGGAGCATTATTTTTGCTCCTCCCCAGAAATCACATCGCACTCTAAATGTGGGGCTCCTTCCAAGGCTCTCCTCCTGCCTCCCAGGACCCAAGCCAGATAGTCTTCCTGGGACTTTGCTTCTCAGGAAGGGACTAGTCCCTGGAGGCCAAGAAGGGGGAGTGTCCTGAATGTTATCTCTGGTAGCACTGGGCTTCTGATGCCAGCCTCAGGTCGTAGAGGGCTCTGCCCCTCCTCTGTGATAATCCCTTCCTCGTGAACCTTTAATTATAGTCTTGGGGTCCAGCGAAGGATAAGGCTCAGTACCTGAGCATTTGTGCAGAGGATCATTCTCCCAGCAGAGGTGTTTCTTCTTTCACAGATAAGGAGTGCCTCTGGGGGTAGGGGTGGGGTTCCATTTCTGCCCTCCTGGACCTCAGCTGGGTTGGGTGTGGGCAGTGGAGATGCTCACTGCACCCCGGGGCATCGTCAGCCCAGCCTTGTGTGGGTGAGGCCCCAGTGAGGGCCAGGCCAAGGGGCAGTGCAAGGAGAAGATGCTGCCAGGAGGGCTTCACAGGAAACTCCAGCCCCTTATCAGGCCTCCTGACCTCTATGAACTTCCAGAACTTTCCAGGCACTACCTGGCAGGCCTTCCTCACTCCTCTAGTCACTCAGCTCCTGGACCTTAGACCTATAGCTGTGAGCACTGGGCCTCACCCTAACCTGCTTTTAGAGCCCAGTTTGAGCCACTTGTGCTAACCCAACACCCAGACCCCTGCTGCCCTCTGCTCAGGGCTGCCACAGATGGGGATCATGTCGCAGCTTCTCCCTCCTTCACCCCAAGACCTGGACCCCCTCCTTTCCCAGGCCTACCTTTTACTTGAAGGAAAACAATGTGTCCAGGAGAAGGGGAAGTCAGCCAAGTAGGCTACAGGGTGAGGATGAAGGTCCCGTGTAGCAGCCAGGGAAGCTGAGGTGGGGAGAAGGCACACAGCCGACCAGGCCCATCCAGCTGGTCCTGGGGTTCTCAAGGTGTCTGCTGGGCAGAGTGGCCCTGCTGCTGGGATCTGTCTGCCCTCCTTCATCCAGGCACACTCAGCATGTACCTGTGGAACCTGCCCTGGGTGCCCCTGGTGCAGAGGGGACCACCACCTTGCACATGTTCCCTGGCAAAACTGTGAGGCCCCCTCAACCTGCAGAAAACCCTGGGAGATCTGAGTGGACATCATGAGCACAAGGCACCACCCTGTGTCCAAACTTGGAACCACAAAGCAGCTGGAGAAAGCTGCTGCAGAAGGTGGGGGCGTGGCCCTTGGTGGGGGTGTGGCCCTTGCAGCAGGGGCCCCAGAAAGGATGCACATGCACTGAGCACTTGCAGGGTCTCCTTTATATACTCACAGGCATTCTCACTCATGCATACCCATCCTCTCACACACGCACATGCACATGCACATACGCACACACTCACGCACACAGTCTGCTGGTTTGCTTCTCTGAAAACTCCTGACACAGTAGGCAAAACCCAGCCATCAAAGAAGACAAGCTCTTCTGACTTTTCACCTTTGCAATAGAAATAGCATCTACTATGCTTCCTCTTCACTGGATGTCTATCTTCAACAGAATGCCGGTTCTCAGAGTGTGGTCACTGGAGCAGCACAGGGAAACGCTTTTCTTTTCTTTTCTGCCACCATGCCCCATGCCAGCTCACTCCTCTGACCTCTGCACCTGCAGGTGCTCCCTGAACACCTGCAGCACCAGTGCCGAAGGGTGGGGTAAAAACTCCCAGCAACCGCCAGAGACCAGAGAGGAGCTTTGCTCAGTGGAGAAGCTGGGGGTGGGGGGAGGAAGAGTTTTAGTTTTGTTTTTTTCTTTATTTTGTTCTGTTGAGGTTTTTTAAATTATACTATTTTTATCCTTTTTCATTTTCTTTTTTACATTTATTTTATTTCTAATTTACTCTTTTCCCCTTTTGTTGTGGTGGTTGTTTTGATTCAGTGTTCTCGTGGTTTTTTTGTTTTGTTAGTATGAGAAAGAAACCAGGGGTGCTCTGCCACTGAGCTACACCCTGGGTCTTGCTGGTCTTTAACTTGAAATCCTCCTCCCTCGGTGAAAGGCCAAGATTTGCACACACACAGCAGTGACAAAGATGAAGCAGTTTATTGCAAACGGCTGCTAGCTTAGATAGAAAGTGAGAGTCAGTTATCTTAAACCAGGAAGCTCCCGGGACCAATCATAGTAAAGGTCAGGTCATCACCTATGGTGCACACGTCCGCCCTGCATAAGATTCATGGGGGGCATGAACTGTCCACGAGTACAGAAGACTGGGAGGGCCCATTAGAAGGTTTTCAAAACAACTTGTTATCCGCCCACTGGCAACTTGCCCACCGCCATGTTTGAAAGGCCCGGGGAGTTCTCAGGGAGACTCCCAACACTCGGCCTCCCAAGCTTCTGGGATCATAGATGTGCACCACCACACTCAACTTGTATTTGTTTTTGTTTGTGGGGTTTTAAATTTTTTTTGCTTATTTCA